TAAACATACACCAGGCGTCACCAGGACCCAGGTGTCGACATAAATATGACAAGACGTGGCCTTTCAGCAGACATGGCCATACAGCAGACATCACGTAGACACGCTCAGACGTGCAGTGGCATCTCCACCAAGCCCCTCCTGTCTACACTCAGGTCACGGGGCCAGCTGCAGGCAGCACAGAGCCATCGGCAGTGGGCGAGCTGCAGCCAGTGCGATGTCTACCTGGAGCAAAGAGCACGGGCCTGATGCAGGTGGGGTGGAAGATGCGCACGGTGGCTCTCACGGGCCCCGCCCACCAGAGGCGCACATCCCCAAAGGCACTCGCCAGGACCTGTGTGTACAGGAGACCTTCCTCTGAGCTCTGAATCTGTGGAAGAAGAAACAGGACCCAAGTCAAGCCCTTCTAGGCTTCCGGACAGAAGGACCTGCCGGGTAGAGACCCAGACCCGAGCCCTGGGTATTCCGTGCAGCATCTCATCATCCTCTCTGTGCAGATCCCCCCTGGGCTCCCTCCCCACGTCCTCTATACATGATGCTCTGGGTCCTTCAGTTCCAGGGACAGAAAATGTCTTTCCCCGTCTTGATCCCAGTCACCACGTTCGCCTGGGTTCTGCTCCCTCCCATTTCCAGGTAAAGAGACTGAGGCTCCAAACGTGAGTCCCTTGCCCGTGGTCTCCCCCGCAGTAAGTGCCATGCCCGATACCTGAGCCCATGTCTGTCAAATCCAGGGCCTGAGTCTTTATCCATCATACTGATTTGTGCCACCAAAACAATAACTCTGGAAGCCCCACACGGGCCAAGACTGGACAATCACAGTCACAGTGATTGGATGAAAACTTGGTCCTGTGACTCACACCCGGACAATTAAAGTGAATCATGTCCCATATGTGGGAACCCTGGGAGAAAGGAGAGCTTTCCATTGAAACTGACCACCAGGGACTCATCATTGACACCAAGAGGAAAGGGCTGCCTAAAAAGATGAGTGACACAGGGAAAGGTAAAACCAAAGGGGACAGATTGCCTATGACACTGAGACCTGGATCCAGCCATGCCTGAAGGCCACCCTCCCTGGAATATACACTGAATCAATCCCTTTTTGTTTGCTTAGAATAGATGGGGTTGAGTTTTCATCATTCACAACTGAAAGAGACCTCAGCAGGCAGAGAAAGCTGGGACCCATCCACAGTCTCAGCATTTTGGAGTCAGAGCCATGATCGCTATTGCTCTGGGCCTGAGAACAGGCAAGGCTGATGGTAGGCCTGGCAGGCGACCTCAAACACTAAGAGAGCCCACAGCATGACCCTGCCCTCTTCTTTAGAAAATTCCTACTCATTGTTCTAGACTCAGCTCTAGGAACTCCTCCTCCAGGAAGGCTGCCAGCCTGCCCCAGCTGTTCTCTGAACTGTCACAGCCCATCCCCCTCTGGCCCATTCCTGCCCAGATGAACTTGGAGATGTCTCTGTCCACATCCATCTCCTGAAGCTTGAGGGTTCCTACACCTGGATTGAGGTCTTCTAGGGTCCAGAGGTGCCCAGAACATTAGGGTAGAGGGAAAGATGGCAGTGCAGGGAGGGGACACTGAGGTGGGTTTGGTGAGTACATGAGAGAAAGACAGCAATGGCTGAGAGAGAAGAGGGAAGGAGGGGCTGGGGTAGCGCAGGGGATGCGAGGAAGCTCAGGGGAGGAGGGGCTGGAAGCCCTTGGATGTGCCACGGTGCCCACCACCAGGTGTTCCAGATGGTACCTGAGGCATTGAGGACAGCCCGGATTGCGTCAGGGTGGCACAAAGTGATGATGGGTATAGTGGGGCCCATCCAGGTTTTAAAGGCCTGAGGGTAGGTTGCCACCAGCTGCGTCAGGGCCTTCAATCCTTGCTCAGTGGGGGGAATCTGCAAGCAAGACAGGGTCGTCACCTCCTGTGATGGTTAATTCCAGGCGCCAATGTGACTGGGCTAAGGGTTGCCCAGATAGATGGTAAATATAATTTCTGGGTGCATCTGTCAGGGTGTTTTCAGAAGAGACGAGGAGTTGAATGGGTAAACTGAGGAAGGAAGATCCGTCCTCCCCAGTGTGGGCGGGCACCATCCAACCCACTGAGGGACCAGAGAGAACAAAATGGCGGAGGAGGGGACTTGGCTCTGTCTCCCAGAGCTGGGACTTCCACGTTCTCTGCCCTTGGACATCCGAGCTCCAGCTGCTCAGGCCTTCGGACTCGGACCGAGCGACAGCTCCGGCGCCCTGGGTCTCCAGCTTGCAGTCAGCACAGGGTGGGACTTCCCAGCCTCCACAGTCCCCTGAGTCAGTTCTCATGGTAAATCCCCTCTTCTCTGTCCAGATCTATACCAGATCTGTGTGTCCTGTGGTTCTGTGTCTCTGCGGAACACTGACTAACACGCGTCCCCAGGAGTGGCCACCGCAGGTCCCCCGCAGCCTCTGGAGGTGGCGCAGCCTCTGCAGTGACTGGCGGGTCTGGATTCTGTGGAGATGGAGGGGATCTCTGATTCCTCCTGCTCCTTCTCTCCTCGGGCCATCTCCAAACGCCACAGGTGCGTCCCAGGAAGAGGGAGGGGACGCGATCTCTGTCCACACAAGGGCCACCTTGGCTCCAGAGGAAGGGTTTTCTTGTCCTGGGAGTGGTTCTGGCCTGGGGACAGCCATATGGGGATGTCCCCACAGAGGGGGTTGTGTGCAGCAGTGTGACCGCAGGACGTGTCCCTAAGGCAGGTTTCCACATGCCCTCATGTCCTGGCTGGTGCACGTGGGCTTCAGTTCCTCCCCAGGGGAAGGGTCTGCACCCTGGGGACCTTCCAGCCTCAGCAGACCCCAGGGAGCAGAGGGGAGCTCTACCTGTCCATGTGGACCATGGCTCCCACCTGTGAGCACCTTCTGCAGACCAGGCTGTGCACCCTCCCACTGAGCCTAAGGACATGCCCATCGATCCTGTCATTACAAGTGAACAGGCTGAGGCCACGTCACCCACAGGGGACAGCAGGTCCAAGTCAGAGGGCAAGGTGTGGGGAGAGGGGTGTTGGGAAAGGCTTCTGAGAGGGGAAGCGAGCGGCCAACTCTCACACAGGTTGCACAGCAGGGCCCATTGGGACATCTTAGTGGGGAAGAGCAGGGTAAGAGGAGGGTGCCCAGGAAGGGCAGGGGTGGTACATTGTCCCCACCTGTCTTCTGGCCCAGCTGTGCCCCTGTGTGTTTGGGTGTGTGGGGGAGTCACAGCCCAGAGAGGGGCAGACACAGGACACGGGCCAGGCAGGGAGCAGACCCTGGACACTGCCCCTCAGGTGGCCTCAAGTGCCGC